ATGCAAATAAAACTTTCTTCTTTATTTGTTAGACTTCTCTGTAGGCTAACTAAGATTACTTTTTGTCTTGGAGATATGCCAAGTTGGTTAGGAATGTTTAACAGTGAAAAAGTTTGATTCCTGCTGAGCTGTGCGGAAACTTCATTATCTGCCAACAGATCACGGAATATTTAATCCCATTGTAAGGCGTTAAGTATAAGGATTAAAACGATATAAAAGATATACGTGGAAAGAATAGATTACAGTAGTATCAAAACTTGAATTGTTTTTACATGTATCATTTGTAAATTCTATTACAGATTAGAAAGTATAATACATACTCCAAGTATTGAAATGCACGCCATTGTGTTGGGATTCAATATTTCAACATTAATTATGTCATCATGATGACATAATTAATGTCCAAATATTGAATCCCAACACGATGGCATGCATTTTAATACTTGGAGTATGTATTACGGATTAGTGTGTGGTAGATTGTGGAGAACCCTAAAATTTAAAATTGAATCATTAAAATTACTAATTTGAATGATTAAATAAGTCATCTTCTAAGAGACATAGATTTGAACCAATTTAGTTTCTGTTTTAGGAAAGACTTTACTTTGCACACCACTCTTCAACAATAAATATTTCACGTAAAAATAATATTCTATTTTTGGCTTTGTTAATCGTTTGTTGATTTACATTTTAGAAACAAAAATCAAAATGTGTTTATTTTTATCCTGCCTCCCACCAGGTTATTTCATATTAAAAGTATTTTATAACATACTTAATAAAGGAAGCAAATAAAATATTTGAATTTATATTTTGCTCAAGGCTGTGTAGTATATTTTCAATATTTATTTTCAGCAATTATGTTTATTTTGTTTATTTCTAACATTATATTGAAGAAAAAAAAATGTTTTTAATTATAATTTAATCATATATGTAAAATGTGTGTTAAAGTTAATTAACTTGGACAAAAAGATTTTACATTTTAATTGCTTAATTGTTTACTGTAATACGAATAAGACCGAACTTTATTGTTGTTTGAAGTGAAATACAAATTGAAGTTTAACATTAAAAATACATAATAAAATATCAATAATAAAATCTCACAAACAATCAAAAAGTAAGAACCAACGGATAAAGTGGAGGAAAGGAAACAAAAGGCACAGGGACACATTAAAACAGTAAAAATGAAAAACGTAAAGTAAGTATTAACTTGGCTAATTGAAATTTAATGAGAATTTATAAAAATATTAGTTTAGTAAATAATCAAAAAAAAAGATAAACACCAACGTTTTGTAGTAATTCCATAGTATGCAAATTATGCTACCAATTCAATCCGGAAACGTTTCCCTCTTGATGACAAGTGTACAGTATATATCTAGAGTAGCTAGGCTAGTGTTTAACTTCAACAATCAAACTTGCTCTCCAGCCTATGATAAGATTTAAACCAGATTATGCCTTTGCTCCAGGCCGTCATTGTATTCTCCCTGAGGCTAATCACTTGAACCGAAAAACCCCAGATCGAGTGTTGAAACCTCGACAGCGTCAACTTGGCTAGGCGGGATCACCGTTTAGATACAGTACACAGGTTCGATCGTTGACACCACTTAACTTTTGGAGTAACTAAACAAGCTTTTTGAGTGTGAATTGGAAAATAATGATAACAATTATGATTACTATTTGTGACTTATCTCTGGTTATTGGCAAACATAGACAACCTATCCAGGTGTAGTTTATTAAATAAATTGTCTGTTTGTGTTTCTATATTTTTCCGTTCTGTACATCTGCTTTTCCGGCTACATACAACTGTCAATTTAATAATGATAAACATTAAAAATTAAAGTAAAAATAGTAAATAGAAATATTGATAAAATAATTAAAATATTATGATAATATGTATCATAAATATAATACTAATGATAATTAAATTAACTGAAATATTAACTGTATAATGTCAATATCTATAATATAATAATTTATTATACAGGCAACAATTCAATTTATAATTATGTGTATATAACAATATAATAATAAAATATCACTCGATTGAAACTATAATAATAACTAAATAATAGTAATATATATTAATAAAGCTGGATAATATCAAAATATGAGTTACCTACTTTAAAAAATTAATTAATTATTAATTAACAGACCAAAATTTGTTCCCTTATTCTGGTAGAATCTTTATTTAAGATTTTTAAAGTATAAAAACATTTGTTTCCTCTAAAACCACCTACAATTGAAAATAACCTCAAATTAAATATCACCTCTGCTTAAAAACACCTCAACTTGAAGATTACCTCCAATTAAAGACCACCTACCAACTAAAACCTACCTCCAATTAAGGACCACTTTTTCTTCAGCTCCAGATTAATGACTCTATCTTATGATGATAATTATTTTTCCTAATAGCAACGACAGCAGCTATAAACTCATGGATCCAAAATTTGTCTTTAATTAGAAGAGAGATCTATAGTTTGTTGCAAATCTGTCATTTTTTTTTTTTTTTTTTTTTTCGAAAAGAGCAGTTTAATGTTTTTATTGAGTGTGTTTGAAGGGGTTATTTTATCACTGGCAGTATATCCTATTCAACTTCTCAACACTGTATCAATATGATGTAATTTCATTCAAACTAATAAAAAAATATTATGTATATCAAATAAAATTTATTGGAATTTATCAAGAGTAATACTATACTTCATTCAGATTTATCTTTAATATATACAACTTGAAGTCTGTTGAGTCCCCTCTTATTAAATTCAACCACCTAAAACAAACAAGAAACCATTCTAAAAGGTGTTATGTACCAACTAGTAATTACCGTCATTTGTGCTTCAATTAATTACTTATCCAATCTGCTGCCGATTCAGGCTTTTATCATGTGTTCCATTCCAGGTACTTGGGCCTAGCTGAGTGCAATTGTGCGGCACATTAGGACCTCTTATGTTTCATGTTGATAATTCGCCGCAATGTTCTTTATGAGCTTCAACATGTTGCAGATATTAGCGGGGAATAAAAGTACCGGCAAGGTCGCTTGGCAGTTTCAACTGTGATTTGGAAATGTGTCTGAAAAGGGTGTGCCACTTGCGAAGATTAAAAATTAAATAGGCCTTGTGATTTTTTTGTTCCTGGAGTTATTGTCCAGCTACAACTGCCCACAGTTGTAGCTGAAAACAGATTGTACAAAGTATGTTGGTACAATTCAAACAATCTTTGAAACATGGAGAAGCTTATGTTTTATTGACAGCATTCATTATATTTACAGTTTCGCACCTTTTTGCATGGAATATTTGTTCAGATGTTGGAAATTATTGATATATATCAGTTAAAACTTCAGGATTATCGCTATACGTGTGACATTTAACATACTGTAAGGCGCGGAAAATTTTTTAATACCCCTTGTTTAGCAAACTTATTTTGTTAAAGACCATCAGAGGAGAGCGGAAACAAAATTTAAATTACATTTTTTTTCTTACATAGCAAAATGATTTTGCCAAAACCAGAGGAGGAAGTAAAAATAAAATGTATTGATGAATGTAAACAGTGTATTAATGAGATTAATAAATGCTATAATTTATATAATTAAGGAAGAAATACCTTATTTTTGGAGATTTTGTTAAAGCAGAGAGTGTAATACAGTACTAATAAAGATTTTTGTTTTTCTGGAAATTTTCATTTTTTCGTGGCAGAAGGTGTACACAAATAAAATGTTATTTTTATTCTAAATCACTGTTATTGGCGGTTGGAGGGTTTGCTAAACAAGGTATCAAAAGGAAAGTCTCGCTGAAATGATTTTCTGAATCAAAAAATAATACAGTCACCATTTCCTAAAGTTAAGTAAATTGATGGTGATAAAACATTCAGAATGATCAAATTTTCTTAAAACTGATTAGAAGAAATTGTAAATGTATAAAGGATTAAGAATAACAAATGTAACAGCTTGTACATAAAAAAAAAAGTATTTACAAAAGGTAAACACATTAAGATGTTGTTGAAAAAGTGAATTTAAATTGTACTTGTGTGTGATGTGTCCACCTTGATAAACACATGTGGTGAACCATTATCTAATCCCCCACTCAAGAACCTCTGTTGCCATGTTTCAATGCTACACGGAGTTTCCTTCTTTCGTTCTGCCTGGTAAAAACCAGTGCAAACCAGGTACAAGCGCATATTCCAGTAGTTAGATTTTAAAGATTAGAATTAACTTCCTTATTTTGAAGCACTGTAACATAAACATTATCAACTTAAAACAAATTCATGTATTTATAAAATATTACTAATTATTTTACAGCAAAAAAATAATAGAAATACTTCCAGTTATTGGAAGTGTTTTATTATTTTTATTATCATTATATCCAGTATAAAAATAGGTAGACAATTTTAAATTCAATAATTGCTATGCTTAAGTTCATAATGTGTATGTTACCTCAAAATAAGCAAGTTAATTTAATTTTTTTTTTTTTTTTTTTTTTTTTTTTTGATATTTTGTCTTTTTCAGTTGACAATGCATCTTTAATAAATGTAAAGATAATAATGTAATTTAAAGGATGAATTAATATTGTTGTTTTGGTTATAATTATTGTTACTACTTGATTATATAATTAAATTAATAATGATAAATTATAATTTGATAATGATAATACTGTTATTTCTGTTGATGTTTATTATTATTATTAAAATATTTTCTATTTGAATTTTCATTTTGTTTAATTACACAGTATAGTACTGATAATATGCTATATTGGTTTTTTTATTATTTTGATTGTCATTTATGATTTTATAATTATTTTTTTTCATGACATTTGCAATTCATACCTGTAGGCATTCATTTAAGGTTATAAATTTGTTGAAATCATATAAATAGTGAACATGAAAACAGAACTGTTGCATATATCAGATTAAAGCCATCTGATAATAATTGTTTAAATCCTCTTAATAATTTCAGAATATCAGCTTTTTTACAGCAATATTCTTTACCCTAGTCACCGATGTGATTTTTCTTTCAGGTGGTGGTCGAAATAACCGAGGGCAAGGGTCAAGCGGACGTTACGGAAATCAAGGGGGAGGTGGCGGCGGCTACTACGGTGGACAAGGAGGAGGTGGCGGCGGTAATTATTATGGTGACAGAAAAGGAGGTTATGGCGGACAGAGCCACTATGGTGGTGGTAGTGGTGGAGGAGGCGGTGGCTATCAGCAATCGTATAGTGGAGGAGGGTAGGTTTTTTAGGTCATAAGGCTGGAATCGTTTTCAAAGGGAATTGTTATTTAATAGGTGTTGTTTTCTATTAGGTGTTTGTTAGTGCTTTGTAAATGCAAAGCAGAGCATTTACTTAGGGTAGCAAGGTGTGAAAATCTAGCCAATGAACTTAATCAAGTGTTCTCTTTAAATTCACTTGAGGTAAGTCAACACATCAGGTTGAAAGTTGACCTTATATTGATGGTGTTTTTCTTCGAAGGCAGTGTTTACTCTATCAAATTTGATGTGACAAGAAAAAAAATGATATGCCCAATATATGTAATATGACATCATCATACTCATATATGAGCACATCACTTAAAGTTAAATAGCGTGGCTATATCAGAGTGCTGTGTTCAATCGCTTCAATAATGGTTTTTTTTTTCCCTTGAATAAAATGAACTTTACTCCTTTTGTACATATGCTCACCTACAATACAATATGTAGCAATATTAGGACCTTCTCACATTGGGCATATCAAAAGCTTCACTTCTATACTCATATAACTTGAACATCACTTGCAAATTTGTCCTCAGTTTGATGATAGCAAGCTTTTGATTTCAGGACAGTAGATCTACAGAACTGGTGCGAGCACTAATGCAATGAGAGAACTAAACTATTCCAATTTAATTGAAAGTAATCTTTATTGAAATTTCAAAACTAACTGAAGTTTAACGATCAAAATCGGAAATAACTAATATAATGCCAGCTTTTGTGTTTTTAGTACATTTTAATGGTAAAATATTAGATTTTAAAATGCCTATTCCAGAAAGCCTATGAAGTCATTCAGGCGTAATGAACGGTAACCAACGTCTGTTGACAACAGAGAGCGTCTCCTGGCGTCGTGACGACACGACTGTGGTACTCTATACTATGCTTAGATGCATGTGCATATATGTCTAGAAATTGAAATCTTGTTAATGACAATACTTTCAACATCACTTACGACTTCATTTCTACTCGTAAGACTTAAGCAGCTCTTAGAACTTCATTCCTACTCATGAAAATGGAGCACCAACTTAAACTTCACTTCTTTCTATAGAGCTTATAATAGCAGCAATTATGCTTCATTTTAAACTTCACTTATATTCATTAGACCCTGAGCATCTCTAAAAATTTCACTTCTACCCTGCTCCTTAATGATTACTTGATTTATTTTCTATGCGCAACTTGAAACAAACGGTAGAAATTCGCTTCAGCATTTTTTAAAAAAACTTACTTAAATTTAAATAAAATTGAATATAAATCAGTCTGTAAAAATATATCAGAATCTAAAACCTAAAAATACTTAATTTCTTTTCATATTTGGATTTTTAACTCTAGTTACTAACTTACTTAAATATACAAATTAACCAATTTAAATATAGAATTTAACTTTTCAATTTGTTAAGCTTATGATAAAATTTCAAATGTATATTGTTAACTTGGATTTTCCTTTACTGTATTTAAACATTTGTCTTATAAAATACATTGTTTTAATTTGTCTTTATTTTTTTACTTTTTTTTTTGACCCAAATAAAAAAATAATTTCCTGCAATTCCAACCCTCCCTTTTTGCAGGTTCTTAGTTGGTTGCTTGTCATTTATTGATACATCACTGAAATGTATCAAAATAATTACACATAAAATATATTTTAATTATTGGTTATTGTTGTTGTTTAATCACGTTTGTGTTTATACTTAAATCACCCTATTTTGTACAGTTGAAAAAGACTTTAATTGTATAATACCGTCTATTATTATTATCTGTTGATGTGGTCTTGTGGTTTACTTGTAAATAAAGACATGGTTGATTAACTGTTTGCGATATGTGGATTGTCACATAGGCTAGGAAGTGATCTAAGTATATGTAGGCCCCTTTGATCCCTTAAGAATGATTCCCTAACCACCAGAAGTTGAGTTGACCTGACCTAGAAATGGCTAACCAGGATGTGCCTGCGTGACCTGATCTTCAACTTTGAACTACTGTGCAAGAACTAGTATTTCCCCTTGCTCCGCCTGTCTGGACGAGGGCAGTCCAACTGACCACATAGACAGGTGACATGTGTCTCTGTGTTTATCAATGGAATTTTGATAGTAGGTTCCTGCTAACTGCAGGTCTCCCTGTAATTGAAGATTTCTCCGATGAAAGACCACCTTCAATTAAAGACCAAATTTCTTATATTTTTGTGATAATATTTTTTTCTAATTGTAGAACCAAAGCTTCTAAAGACAACAAAAACTGTGATCCCAAAAGTGATCTTTCATTGTAGTGAGACCTGTATTTGCATTGTTTAAGGCTCTTTTTCTTGTTTTAGTCCCAAATGTTTCTTATATTTTTTTAAAAACTCATTCCCTCCCCACACCACCTCTCTCTCTTTCTCTAATTGATTTTCATGAGAATCCATTTACCCTGTATCATTACTATCATTCTTCCTCTTTCTCTGCTGCTGCTATATCAATCTACTATTTCCCATATTTCTACCTTCCTCTTATCCTCATGTATCCAGTCATCCTCTGCTATCAAAAATCATTATCCCTTTCCATCTCCTGTCTTTCTTCCCTTCCTTCACCTCAAATCTTTCTCTATCTTGCTTCTTTTTTTTTTGTATATTTTTTTCTTCTGCTTTTTCTTTTTCAGTTGGTATTTATCGCGCTATCCACAAACAGCGTTGTTTGAGTGCGTTACTCAACTCTTTCCCATTAAATATGTCATTACCAAAGCAATAAGTTAATTTTACTGTTGATCTCCCTATTATAATTAATGACTATTCAATTTGAACACAGCAGGGTATACCAGTCTTAAGCGGGAGGGGGTGGAGTTAGGGAGGGAGATACGTTATACATACGCAAGGTGTGACCTTTTGTTGTTTTTGACAACATTAGTGCATCAATTGTGTCTGATTGACAGGCGAGCTAAACCAACACAAAGACACCTCTAATGAAAGGCCTGTAATTGAGTCTATTGTTAAATTATCCGTAAGTTAGTATAGGTCTCGTAAGTGTTATTGAGTAAAGTACAGAGCTTGGACTGTGATATAAGTTATGGATGTATATTTCTAAGACAGTATTTTTCAATATTAATTTAGCAGGTTTTAAAAAAATTTGTATGACATTCTTGCATAAAAAAGAAAATTTAATATGTAAGCAATCACATTATAGGAATACACTGATTATAGCTTTTGATGTCAAACTTAAAATCTATTATTACACAATCATATGATTAATATAGTAATGTAGTTTTATTTATATAGCACCTTGTACAATTGACTCAAGATGGTTAAATTAAAATAAATAATAATCACTTTTATAAAACAGACTAATATTCTTACAGTGCACCCTCCATTTCGAGACTTCCTTTATTCGAAATCACTTTTTCAAGGAACCAAATAACAACCCTCCCCCGGTGTTGAGAACAAACCGTGAGACCACCCCAAATGTTCAGGTTCCAAAGGTCGTCACAAAATTAGAGGGCAAACTGTATTATGGTTTGAAAAGTTCACCAAAAGAGATGAGTTTTCAATGGACCCTTAACATCCCCATTGACAGTGACTGGCAGATGATATCTGGCAAGCTGTTCCACAGCTTAGGAGCTGCAACTTTGTAGTTTCTTTCACCTTTAGTCTTAAAGACGTCTGAGAGAGACAAAAAAAAAAAACATATCATTGTATCGGCTCTTTTTTTATTTGTTCTCCATTGAAATGCAACAGTAGCCTGAGCTAATTAGCTCTAAAACACAGTCTTATTAATTCTTTTATTTAATTCATTGATACTCATTATATTATTGTTTATCAAATTATCTATTTGATTGTCATATTCAGGCGTTAATATTCATGGATATTGATTTTTATTGACTTAACTAGGTATTTGTTTATCGCTTTATTACACCAATTGGGGCATAATCACCCTTTTTTCCACCTTTTCCCCCCCCCAGTTTTTAAATATTCAAAAATCTGTATTTCATTAACCGCTCCTAAGTTTTTTGTCAAATATACAGTATGCAAGCTTACCTTGTTTGTGGTGTCCTTTTTCACACCTAGTGTGTAAATATCATATTTATAACTTGTATGTTTACGTTTATGTGAAATAAATATATTCAAGTTTATAGAGATAATATTGATGATTAGGAAAGGAGGTTTTGTCTGTGTTACGTTGTTATCATAGATGAGCAACGGTGGTTTGGTGATAGTTGGGTGGTGGTTTTGTGACGGTTACTTACTTATTTACTTACTTAATCCTCTTGGCCCCATGGGGGAGCATAGGGCATCCACCTTTGGCGCTCCCCCCCCCCTTCATGTAGTATTGATATTTTTCAGGTCTTGTAGAGTAGAGCGACGCCAGTTGTTCTTGGGTCTGCCCTGTTTTCTGTTTTCCCTGCGGGTTGTAGCCTAGGGCCTTCTTGGTGACATTTGTATGGTCTTCCATTAAAGTATGGCCTATCTATCTCCACATCCACATAAATCGTTATTAGGTTGCTGATCTCTTCCTGATCGGTTTTGCTCCACAGTTCCTCGTTGGATATCTTCCTTGGCCACCAGATTTTTAGAATGTATCTAAGGCATTTATTAATAAAAACTTGCAACTTGTTCTGTAGTGATTTTTGTTGTTTTCCATGTTTCTGAACCGTGGAGCAGAACTGACTTGACATTTGTATTGAAAATGCGCATCTTGGTATTGTTTGAATTATTGGAGGAAAACCATATTGGTAGCAGGGTCCTGAATGCATGTCGTGTTGGTGACGGTTGTGTGGTGGTATAATGGTTATGTGACGGTGGTGACAATGGTGAAGGTGATATTACTGGTGATATTGGTTGAAGTGATAATGCTGGGAAAAGTGAAAAATTCAATTGAATTAGAGAGTTTAACTCATTTTTGTTTCACTTTCTCTACATTTCAGACAACATGGCTGGAATAGAAACATGCAGGCACAACAGAGTGCCTACTACCAGAATCAACAACGTTACCAGCAACAGCAACATCAACCATATCAACAACAGCAGTATAACCAAGGGCGCAGAAAGCAGAGAGATGATCGCTACAGATCTGTAAGTAACACTTTGTTTTTTATGTATATATTTTTTTTCCTTTTTCTTATTTATAATATATATACTTTTTCATATGCAACAAGAAGCTACCAACTTGTTGATGCCAAATATTTCTGAATAGAAATTGGTTAACAGCACATTTATTATTTACAAACTCTAATTACTAGAACAATTTTTATATTAAGCCTCTGAATGAATTTTAGGTAGCAGGATTGTTTTAGTTGTAAGAGAAGATCCTGTAGTTCCAGGATTTGGACCCAGTACCCTGAGATTGAAGGGGGCATCTTCACCACCGAGGTACAGCTCAACTCTGATGCTGAAAAAATATTTGATTATTGCTTTATGCATTGAACTAAAAACTAAATTTGGAAAATTTATTTCAGTATTTGAATTACTTATTCTTATTATTTTTTTTGCATTTTCAAGTAAAAATTAAAGCAACAAAAAAAATGGGTTTTTTTTTTGCTATTAAAAATACTAATTAATTGTGAGTATCAACATTTTATTTTTGGAATTGATTTCTATTTTGAAAATCTGAGAATTAGTGAAAATAGAATTATTTTGATACGCAGCTCATGTAATAGATAACTTAATTGATACTTTTATTTGAGCTCAAATTTAATTCTTTATATTAATTTCTCGAAAACGTTCCAGATTTATTGATAGACAGTATATATTTTTATGTATGTATTTTCTTTAAATATTTAATTAAGTACCTGTTGTGTGAATTATCCTGAATTTTAAAGGTGTCCCAATAATAAGTCAAGAATCTCTTGAAAGAGTGATAAGTTCCCTTGCATTTATGCATAGTCAGTGTCCTCCGGTGTTTTTTTAGCGTATTATACAAGATTCAATAGATTTTGTTGTCAACCACGTTAACTAACCAGCGTTTTACTGAGTGGATAATTGTCATGAAAAAGCTATCCATTGTTTATAGTATTTTTTCACTCTGTCTACATGCATCTCTATTAAGTCGGTTTTAAAAAAGGAAACCTCACAACAAACACAAAAGTGCATGTGTTTAGTAATTAGTGGTGATAATTTTACCGTCCGTTATCCTTGAATAGATACAAAGGCCAATCAGTTTCAGCCAATTTTCCGTAGGCACTATCCAAGATTGTTTCAAAATTGCTGGGGATAATAAGCCAAACACAAGATGTTAAACTCACTTTCGATGAAGATATCTTCTTCGGTGATGTCACCTCGAATTGTGGAAAACACTTTTCCGGCCAATTACTTAGCAGCTTGATTACCGCAGTAATTTAGATAAATAGATCAGCAAACCTATTGTGCTAATTTCTTTCAATAAAAGAATTATATATCATCTTACCTTGATGTACTAGCTTTTAGTGTTTTATAAGAATGTACATTCCAAAAATATGTTTATTTCTCTTCTTCCCCTACCCCTAAAAAAGAAAGGAAAAAAAAAAAAAAAACATTTTTTGACATAATCATCAATTAGGCAGTGGTCTATAGACCATGTCATGTATTTGTTAGGTATTAGTCAGTGGTCTATAGATCATGTCATGTATTTCTGAAAAGATCTCAGGATTAGTATTTATTACTGTAAAATGTCTGATTAAAAATAGTACTCGTTGTGATCTTGCTCTATAGTGATCCACCTTTTATAACAATGTCCTGCTACTCTAATATTAACCCACTGGGATTACTCTTGGAACACCAAGTTCTAACGGAAGAAGAATTTCCCAACTTGTTCGCTGATAATCGATGACGATCAAATAGTTTAAACCTCTAAAATACAATGTTAGAAATGGAAAATGTGTTTATAAACAAAAAAAGAATCAACAATCTTTTACATTTTCTTTGTGGATTGCCGACAAGAATTGTGGGAGGGCTATTTTTTTTCTCTTCTTTTTTGCCTCAGACTTTTTCACAAAAGGGGTTTCTAGCCTAGAAGAATTTATTGTAGAAGATCATTTTAAAAATAATATTTAGTTCCATATAATGAAGTAACACACAGTTAATATCTATTTATGTTTACTGAGCAATCAAACGTGTCAATTGCTCTCATTTTCGCAAAGTTTCGAAAGTTCTGAAGTGTTTCGTTCAAATATGCTGAGGTTTTTTTTCAATGAAAAGTTGCAGTGCCGTGTATAGTTTGAACAACTCTGCCCTGATTGGGCAAACACGTTGGGTGGCTGGTCAAACACAGTGTACTTGACCAATCCTTCAATTGTTGGTCTGTTCCACAGCTGACCTTACATAATCATTTACATAGTATTAAGAATTGCGTTAACTCGCTTTGGAATCACGAGTATATTGATCGTATCATAAGCGCCGGGGCTATGATTCTGTATACAGTGATGACAATTGGATTTAGAAACTGATTCGAAAGAAAATATTGTAACAAGCATTAATGGTGATGAGTTCGATTTGGATACAGTATCATTATCAAAGCCATTTGACAAGTGTTTGCTCTTCAAGCCGTTGCTTTCATTCGAGGATTTAATAACATCCAATTGGCTAGAAGTCCGCACAAAGCTGAGCCTGATTAGCTAAAATTAATGAGTTGCGTAAACTTTATTTGAGCTCAGATTTTCTATGGTTCTGATCACTAATTGTAACTCTTATACCAACCCAGGCAGTTTATTCATGCAGTCTTCACTCCAAAGAATTTGAATTCTAAAATCTTTTCACTTTGCCTGTCCCAACACAAGTTTTTTCTGTTATGCATCTATGCATCTCATATTCATATCTACTAACTTAACCCGATCATGCCCGTATCCAGGGGGGGTTTTTATGGTTCAGGAGAACCCCCACTTTTCTAGCAAACCCCCCTCTTTTGTGGCGAACCCCCCACTTCAAATTTCCCAAATAAGTCCTCCAACCCAACTAATGCACTGCAGACCCACCCAGACACAGACGTTTTCAAACATATCTGCTTTTATAGCATTGCTTAGACCCATAAAGCACCAAAATCCTCTTGCTTTGGGGGTTTTGCCGACCCCACCGGGGCTTCAACGGTGGACCTCAAGCCCAGAAAAGCTCCCCCCTTGGAAGGACCTGGCTACGGGCCTGCCTATCATAGTAATCCAGTCCTGCTACACTATTCCAAGGTTTTTACGTCTGCTTCAAACTAAGGTCTTTCATTCCTGTTAGCCACACCCAAGACTTCACTCCAGCTTCACTTAAGCTTATAATTCTGCAACTGCCACCTAAGCTTTTCACTACTACTTTAAATTTCTTCTTCTCAATCCTGCGCATTTTACTCCTTCTATTTCCATTCCCATCAAGTGTGTTACTTTCGCTATACCAGCCAAGCCTTTCAATTCTTCCTGCTACTCTACTCTAGTAGCTCACTTTTAGCCATTTTCACCATACCGTATAGCCTTAGATTACACTACTATTCTAAGGTCTTGCATCACCCCTTTCTTTCTTTTATTTATTTATTTATTTATTTATTTATTTATTTATTTACACTCTCATTCTACAGCGGGAAACCCGCCACTTACAGAATGGATTAAAATATTAAACATTAAAATATGACAATATGATTAATAAAATAAAAATAAAAATAATAATAATAATAGTAATAATAACAGTAACAATAATTCATCTTATACAATTTTACAACTTTTCTTACAAAAACATCCATAACTGTCAAAAAACAGGTCAATAGAGTTGTCTTTGACAACACAGTTATTAAAAAGAAGACAAATACGTGAAATAAAACCATTTTTGGTAGCATTGACACGACAAAATGGAACATAAAGCAGATTACATTTAGAATTACGTGTTCGACATCCAATAACATGAAAGGAGAACAAGGAAATAAAGTTACAATCAAACATAGAATTCACACACTTATACAGAAACTGAAGATCAAAGACAGAACGACGAGAAACGAGAGAAGGGAGGGAAACGGACAACACAGGACAATGGCAAGTTCCTACCAGCCCTTACATTTCACTTCAATCATGTCTGTTTCCCAACCCATGCGTGTCTCAGATTCCACTGTTACCAACTCTACTTTGCTGTCCTACCAACCTTAGCCAAGCATCTAACTCTGTTATCCCACCCAAGTCATATATTCTCTTAAACCGCCCTTACCGTAGGCTAAATTGCAATACATTACCTAAAAACAACCAACCAACCAACCAAACACAGACAGCAGAACTTGACGTAATTCATAAAATCTCAAGGTTAAATTTTTGTAGACTGTCTGACGGCGGCATCTGGTCAAATATTCAAACATGTGACGTTAGTTCCTGAGGGAAGCAGGGGCCTAACATCTGTTGGATCAGCAAACATGAGGAAAATGTACTTAAAGGAATCACTCAACTGGGAATGGATCCATTGCTGGTCCCCTATCTCCTCACTTGTCAATCACTTAAAAATGACATTTCATTTTACTCAGCATCCATTTCTGACAGTTTGCATTTTTATCAAATGAACATTTCCATAACAATTTTCTTAAAAGTGACATATATAACGATTTTAAAATTTGATGCAATGCTTTTTATTTCGTATGCATTCTGATGAGAAAAGTTAGTACGAGATTCCTTTTATAATCCATACAAGACCAAAAGGAACTATGTCTTAAGCCAGTGAAATTATTTCTCTTTCAAACATTTTGCCGCAACAGTATGTGCTAATCTAGGTCGTGTGAGCAAGCAGACTATACCCCGTAGTGACAAGACCTGGTCATTCACCTAGCAGCTTCCCACAGCCCCCTAATCCATCGCAGCCCAATTGTTTGTGAGACTGAACCACTAGCAATTTTATAGTATTTTTGTATCAACAATTTTAATGAATGAAGCAGTTACAGGTACAACATAAGTCGAGGCAATGAGGCCTACATTACATTTACAAAACAACAAAACATTTAAAGACAGGTTGTGGTAGAAAAAAACATTATTAATATGTTGTACTACAACTGATTTTTGTAAGATATAAAAAGGGTGTTTGAGGAAAAACTTGAAAATGGTTAATGAGATACAGATTTTTGAATATTTAAAAACTGGGGGAAGGTGGAAAAAAGGGTGGTTACGCACATTTTTCCCTTGTCCAGCTTTTAAATATTCAACATTTTATATCTCATTATTCGTTCCCGAGTTGTTTGTCAAACACCAGTTTTTGTGTCTTAGAAAAATTAGATGTACAACATACAATTGTCTGTTCATGCTATTAATAATAATAATAGTTTTGCTTTTATCCTAAACTCACCCTTAATTGGAACTTCAGTATTACATAAAAGATATTACATCTTGAAGGATAAAAAATTACCCTTAAATTCTTCCATTATTAGAACATACATAATTACATCAACTGTTTTCCGTTGGGATTTTTCAAACCACATGACGAATACATTTAAGGAAGCAATACTTCTCCAGGTTTTTTACGGAAGCTTTTTTTTTTCTTTTAATTTTTTTCGGAGTTGAATCGTAGAGGGGAAGTAGGAATTTGTACTTGCATCCTTGCTCAGGTGTCTGATCATTAATTGACTCCACTCAAAGAGACTACGGAACAATACCACCTGAATCGAACAAGAGCCACCCTAAGAGCTGTTTTCAGATAAGGTGTTAATACTATAGAACATAGGCACATAAATCCGTTGAGATTTCAATGAGGCTTAATCGCACGAAGGCCATGGCATGCAGAAGATGAAAAGGTGTAGGCAGTTAGGGGGAAATTTGGATCTCTGTCCAGTCCAATTAGGCAACGATCCTTGGTTTTTGACATTGTACATTAAACCTTCAGTACAACGGTTCCAAGCTCTGACATGACTGGAAGTGATTTTCGCCTGTTGTTATTGACCTGTTTTTACCATCACCCTGTGATGTCATGTTTTCATAGGCTTACATAATGGATAACTCAGGGTATAGCCCTATAAAAAATATGTTGTCGTCATCACACTATCTACACTGGAAAACATGATTGAGATAATACAAACAATAGCTACTTACTGTTTAAAAAAAAATAGAAAAAATTTTTTTTTTCAAATTTAAAAAGAAAAAAAAATATTTTAGGAATATTTTTTTCAGTACCATAGACGACATGAATGCGAGGGATATAAACTAATAAATTTTTTATTGGGCCTTACATCTTAAACACTCTTCAATGGCAGGTCAGTCAGGCCTTGGATATTCAAAAAAGCAGTGTCTCGAATGCAATTCTTGGCAGACCAAGTACAAAAAGAATTATTCATTACATTTCCTCTGATACTACCACCCTAACTTCCTATTTTAAAAAAATATTATGTTAATAAAAAAAATAAAAAAAATATGCTGGAATAACATATTTGTTATATTTGACCTGTTTAAATCATAACTTCATGCAAACCAGACTTTTTTTTAAAGAAAGAGCCCACACACGAAAAAATAAATAAAAAAACTAATTTGTATACAAATTTTACAATGTGTATACTCATTTTTAATGCATATTGAGCTGAACATTTGATCATTTTCTGGAAATTATACTTTAATTCATTTTCTTTTTTATTTTAGGGAGCAAACCGAAGCCATCCTTACCCACCTCCACTGCAACAACATCGGCGTTATTAGTCTGAAATAATTAATTCAGCATCGACAATTATCTGGGCAATTTTTACCTGTCAGCTGGAATTTAATCATAATTTTCCAAAATTTCTGTAATATCAAATGTATATTTATACAATGAGATATACAATTTTAACTATTTACTGTTCAAACTTACTTGTTGATGTACTTGTTAATTATGTAACAGTATTAATTAAGGTAATTAAATAATTTTAATTTTATTTTATTTTATTTTAATTATGTTTAATTAATATTTAATATTAATTAAATTAATTAAATAAATATAATTTTAAGTTAATTTTATTTTAGTTATGTTTAATTAATATTTATTGTTAATTAAATTAATTAAATCATTATAATTTTAATTTATTTTAATTTTATTTAATTGATTAATATTAATTATTGAATATTACATACTTTACTATTAGTGGTTGTTGGGATGGTATATAAGGTGTCTTCAATTAGTATATTTTTATACCTAACTTGAACTGTATTTAACTATGGAATAAACATAAAAAATTAAATGTATTGAATGATAATTAATTAGTATAAATTATTTAATTTTAATTATTTTTTTCAATTCATGAAATGTATATTATGCTGTGCTGTGGCTGGTACACTTTTTGCATATTCATTATCAGAATTTTAATTATTTTAATTTTGTTAAATTATTTCATTTACTATTTTTAATAAATTACATCAGGTGAATAAAATTATTATTGTTGTTAATTAATTAATTAATAATAATAATAATAATATGGAGGGTGCTGCTGGTACACCTTTTTGTATACTTATCAGAATGTTTTTTGTTGTTTTTTAGTATTATTTTTTATTAATTCTATCAGGTCAATAATATTATTATTGATTAAAATATATTCATAATACAGGGGTGTTTGGAAGTTTTAAGCTAAAGACATTTATACCCAAATAATCAGACTGCTTGCAAATATAAATAATAATTAATTAATTAAATTTAATATGTTTTATTTACTTTATTTCAAGAGTTGTTTTTATTGTTATTGTGTTTTTTAAGAAAGAGAAATCCAGTCAGATGTTTGAAAGGTGTATATAATGCTGTTATATTTAGTACACCTTTTTATACCCAAGTTGTCATAATTTTGCCTGAACAGTACTCAGTATTTGAATATCTGTGGTGTTGAAAAGTCGTAAGCACATTTGACAGTAAAATAGTTGATATGCCTTGTAAGTATGTTGAGTGAATTAATTAATTCACCAATGATTAAATCAATACTACTCTCTATTGTCGTTATTTTAGTCGCTTGTAGTAATGATAAAATAATATTTTATGATAGATGATGATATTAGTAGTACTATTAATGTTAGTAGTGTTATTGTTTTTCATCACAACTATGCTAATAGTACTATTAGCAGTATATGTTCATGATTATTATTATTATTATTATTATTGTTATTATTATTGTTATTATTATTGTTATTATTATTGTTATTATTATTATTATTATTATTATTGGTATTTTTTTATTATTATGATCATGATAATGTTAATATCATTATAGGATTATTATTTTTTTACCACAACCATTTCTTCCGTGATTACATTGTTTATTGTCATGTTATTATTTTATGAATTTATTTGATAGTTAAGGTATGTAATTAGCCTTTTTATTCATTTATCATTTTCTTTGTGATTTGTTGTTTTATTTTTGTGTAATAATTGATGTAGTTGTTTTTTATAAATATTATTTTATAAATGTCAACTTTGTTGTATTATTCGACCATCATTAATTTTGATGATGTTATGAATATTAAACAAATCTTAAAAAGTTAAGCGTGAATGCCTACTGCAGTTCCTTTATATTTCTTTTTCTGAGTAAAACATTTCCTAAACGAATACGTATTAGGTTTATTAGTTGTAAGAATGAAAGTTGATACAGATATAATAATACTTGATGTAGTTAGAGCCTTAAATTGACCCATTCTTGAGGTGATTATCAAGAACGCAAAGTAAAATTAACCATTTAATGATGATTATGACGACGACGATAACGACAGGGGCGGCGGCAGCTACGAAGAAGATGATGACGGTAAGGATGATCATGAAGATAGTTATGGTGATGTGATGATGACGATGATAATGATGACGACGGCCATGATAATAATGATATAACAATTATGTATTGACGAAATGATCACTGGTATTTCTATTGGATAGTACAGTACTTCGATCGATATTTTTTATTGAGAAGGATTGTCATCGATGGGACAACTGTTAAATATAAATATACTTCATGAAGTCGTCGTATATTTAATATACTCTTAGACCAGCGTTAGTCACGGTTTAAGTGTTCTTGATAGTTGTTAAAATTCGATTCTAGTGTTTAATGTCCCTTTAGCCGTACAGTTAACGTATTTATTATTGGTTGGGGCTTCGTTTTAGTCTAGGCCTACTTCAGCAGGGAACACAACACAAAGCACACACTTCAAACCTATTTACTTGCTGCGTCGGATTTTTTTAAGTACCGGTCGATGGCGGGTACGTGTGGTTACCACTAATTGAGTGCTTTCTTCATACCTACCAAAAACTCAAAAAGGGTAACACTGTGTCTTCAACCAACGATTGATTCATTATTTTCCCCACATGATGCCGAGTAGGTTAGGATTAGGATAGAAGAAGAGAAAGTCTACCTGTACTGGATTTTTCTTACAAGTTCCGAAGTTTTCAGTAAGTTCAAAGTAAGTCCTGTAGTCTTAAAAATATATTCCATCGAAGTAATGATTTGAAAATAATGTATTCTTTAATGCGGAATTTTCATAATTTACCCAAAATATAGTATTGTTATGGTTATTGTAGGCCTTGTTGATTTGATTTTTTTTTTAAATTTATTCGATCCTCGACATAACACAACATTTACTGTAATATTGTGAACGACAAGACGAGCATCAGGAAGTCGATCTCATTTTAAATTAGGCCTGTTAGCAAATGCCATAACCAGGATTTTCAAATGTGGGTGTTCACATACAAAATTTGATGAATGTCGTGTAGAACCCTGTTTTGTCAAGACGACATTTAACGTCATGAAGTAAAGTTGTAAGCTTTAGTGGTTGGTTGCGATTCTTGCAGCCTAATCTTATGGTCCTAGGTTCAATTCCTGTCAGACGGAGAATGTTATCACGACTAAAAACAACTCCACTCTTTAAGCCTCGTAAGGAGACGTAAATCATAAAGCATCGCTACATCCTGCATTGGCGCAGGTTGATTGTTGTTGGATGTGAAGAAGATATAAAGAAATTAAAAATAACTAGAGATGGGGTGTGGCCCAAGCAGTTAGTAGGTGACATGCGCGTAATCTACAGTAGCGATAGGCATATAAGATAGTTAGCCTAGTTGCATTTACTGCGGTTCTCCGTCAAAATCGACAGTTCATGTCAAAATCAGCATTAAATCCGACTCTACTTTCCTGACAATGATGTAAAATATTTCCGTATTGGCGATACTTGAACAGTAAACGATTTTCAAATTTATTCTAATAGGCCTAACTATCGTAATAAATTGTCTCTGTAGGGCTCCTAATATCTAGGCACAGAGTATGTAGTTGTATCAAATGAAGAACGTGGACGGTTATTTCTAACAGTTTTTTTGCTACAAGCCTACACGAACAAACTCAAACTCTTACTAAAAGTTTTTGAACCCCGTCAGGGGATTGCTTATAAACCTACATTTTAAAATCAACATGTGGGTCGAATAGGTCTTAAGATCTTTAGTGTTTTCCCGTCGTATAATTTCTCATTTCTCAACTGGGGTCTAGTTTCCGCCTGATCTATGATTAGATAATTTATCAACTGGATTAAGGCTAAAAGTACACCCTGGGGGAATTTAGTCGCATGGGATACAATATCCATGCGTGTGTAAAGGATGGGTTAACACTGGTCGTTGATTGGTTGTTGTAACCCTGTCGTAAAAGCTTGTATTTCATTACTAGGCGAATTTATTCGCGCGAATCGAAAGTGTAGGTTCACTATTTGCGCTCTGATTGATTGCGCATTTTTTTTTTCGCTTCACCAACTCCGATAGAATTGTAATGCACATGCGCATAAACCCATGTATAACGTTGACATTCACCATAATTTGTATGTTTATTCTCTGTTTTTGCGATGTATTGCTATTTTCTAGGATGTTCCATTCTTTATTGACTATAATACCATATTTTTTAAAATGACGATTGTACATAAGTACTAATAATAATATAATTTTAATTTAAAATAATAGAGATATTTAATATTTTTAAATTTAAATAAATCAATTATTTTTTATTTTTTATTTTGACGAATGTTCAGGATTATTATAATTATAATGGTTATATTTTTGTATGTATTGTTTAATTGTTATCAATTTACTGCTCAGAGATTGGTTTAATTTTCTTAGTATGATGATCTATGCAGTTATTAGTTAAATTTGTTCCATTTTTTGTTTTATTATTTTTTTTTTTTAACGGTTTTGTATTGTATTGTCTTGTTGGGAGGGAAAGCACATCACTTGACAGTTATTTTTCTTGAAAATAAGTAAAAAAATTATAAATTATAAATTCACTTGGACATGCTCATTTTTCTTTGTGTGACCTATTTTTAGAATATCACTTTTGTATATATTTAAAATGATAAGAGGCATATAGTAATATATATATATATATATATTATATATATGTCTTTTGTATATATTTAAAATGATAATAGGCATATATGGTAATATATAATATATATATATTATATATATATATATATCGCGTCCGATGCACTTGCTAATGCTCGCAACAATATAACATTAGTCTTCGTTAGGCCGTCACAGGAAGCTATGTATTAATATTAAACCATGGTGTGTTTATGTAATATTTGCGTTCTTGTTTATATTATCTATTCAATGTTAAATTAATTTAGCTAAATTGAGATTTGTTGTTAATGGATAGAGGCCAAACAAATGAGACAAAACGAATACATAGTAATGGTTGAACTTTTATCAAAAAAATTTTGGATCACATGATCAAACTTATCCAACCGCTTTTAGAAATTAGATGCACTGTATTCGTTTTATTAAGAGAAGGTCTAACTTGCTTGAAAGTTAACAAAACCTTTAATATAACTCTTCCTATATTGTCTAGGTAATTTAAGAATGATTGTAACAAAAGTTTGTAGACTAACGAAAACTAATTGTGTCTCATTTGTTTGGCCTCTGTTAAATATCATTTCAATGAGTAATAATAATCATAATAATAATAATAATAATAACAATAATAATAATAATACTGTAATAATAATAATAATAATAATAATAATAATAATAATAATAATAATAATAATAAATAATAATAATTAGGTATTTATAAAGTGCCAATATAACTGAATCGGAGTAAAATAAAAGAAAAAACATAAGTCACTGTGCGAGGCTAAATATGTTAAGTGCGTTTTAAGTTTCGTCATGGAAATAGCAATTATGATAGGTTCGGTATTAAAATATGTTTAGAAGGGAAAGTTCAAAGAGTTTCAGCTGAAAATAAAAGTGACCTGTGGCCGTAAGATTTTGTGTATTAAGGGGTTTCTAAAATTTACCGCAGTAAGTTATTTATAACATAATTAAAAATCGATTTTTAATAAGGTAAACATAAAGTAAATCCTTAATCAAGCCTAATTGATTGTAACAAAAGGTTACAATATAGGTTGTGGAAATCACCAGAAAGTTGTGGTTTGCCTCTACTGTTGCAGCATCGGCAGATCAAAGCACAGCTGACACCAATACATGATAATAAACGAAATGGAATCCAACCATATGATCAAAGATTATGATTTTTCATTCAGTAAATCAGTTAGCCGAAAATCCTGCATTAGTATTGTCCTTATTCTAGTTGTTTTCAGTTGTACATCAGTTAACGGAAGTATCTTTAATACAATAGGGCGATAACAAAAAAAATCTAAGCTTCGACGTGGGAACATACTATTCTGCAAAAACAACATACATTATTGAAAAGCTTCTGAGCATAATTTACTCTGTTACTCTTTCGTATCTGATATGGGCAGAGTAGCCTTGTTTTTCTATACAAAATATATTTAAAAAAATTAGGACGGTATTTTTTTTGTACTTATATTAGTTTTTATTGTTGAGATCTGGGTAAGAATTCTTATTATTTACCACTTTCTCTACCACCCCGGACCTAGGAGAACCAGGAGCTTGCCCAGAGAATCTGGCATCCTGGTGAAGCTTGATCCATTGATTCAAACAAAATAGCCGAACTACTTCCGAGTTGGTCGGTCTTGGGCAACCGTATGTTTGGCCTAATATGATGATTTGACTCGATATAAGAATAATTAAAGAACACAAAATAAATCCGCTTATTATTAATTGCCTATTACTGGTGAGAGTACAGTACTCGTAAGAGTTCGGTGCATAATTTCAGACAATAGAGGGCGGGATACTATCAAGTTATGTTGTCGTCTGCTTTACTACGTGTACGAATGACCAAAAGTGACCTACCAGACAAAATGTAAACGAATTATTCGATCTTATAGGAAGCTGGATTTTGGTTGGGTTTGTCCATAGAGTTCTCTATGGTTTGTCCAACTTTACGCATATCCCTCAGAACTTTCATGTAATCTATTACACATAAGATTACTATTTAGGTCTAACTCTATAAATATAAATAATTATCTATAAAAACAAATAAGACACGAATTGGACTTTTTTTTTAATCAGCAGATTAATTATGGTGGTTCCCGTGTTTTGATCCCGCCTACATCTCCGCCGCCTTGATCCGTGCATAGTAAGATCTTGATGAGTATTGGTCAATGGTGCGAGAAAATTACCCATAACGTCCGTTCTTCATCTGCTTCACTATTATACCTGACGTCCTACTGATTCAATATTGAACGATCGCGATGAATAAACAAGGTAAATAAGGAAATTGTTTACTACAATGCCCACACTGATGTTTTAAATTTCACAGGTGTTGGCGATTGGTAGAGAATAATGATACGCGAGGACATCTAGCCATCTAGACTGGCCTATAGATAATTCATCATAAATTAGTTTTACTGTAGGCTTTCGTCGAAAAGTATTAGGCCTACTACACTATAATATGTTAGATAAATCGTCGTTTTTCTGGTTCATTGGTCTCTAAAAACATGTCAATTATATTTGATTTAGTCTCTTAGAACACTTGATGTTTTGAGCACAACCAGTTAAATTGCAGCCAGATACCGTTGCTCTTGAGTGGCCACTAATACAAATTGTTCAATTGTTCGTCGGACAATAAAGGTAACACCTGTGTGTGATTGATTCAGTAGCGGGCCTGCCTTCGAGTTTATGCGATTTACACGGTAACTGTCTCTAACCAAAAATAACAAAAGATATAACCCAATCAAACCGCAATTGTACTACTAGTCGGTAAACAAACCACAAGATGTTAAGGCCACTCTCCCCTAAAAGAAATCCTACCTTGTTTTAAGTTATGCTCACACTTAAATCATTTATCTCAATACAATGTTAAAAATTAGCTATTCGTTTCTATTGGTTGTCATGCAGCACGAAACTTATTTACGCGCGCGTGGACAAATAGTGTGCACATCAGAGTGTAAAATGCTATGAGAAGTCCAATTTAGTGAATCAGATGGTATATGACACCTCTGAAAATTCAAACATGTCGAAATGTCTGTTGATCACGCACAATGTAACTGTTCAGTCGAAGAGAGAGGATCGACCGTTTAGAATTGATTGCTGAGCCCGTTACAAATCCGATGATTAACTTGTCGGCATTGATAAAGAGGTGTGAAAGGTCACACTAAGAAGAAAACCTGAATCATTGTGAAGAGGGTTCTTAATCTTATATGAACTAGGAACAATTACATATTGCCCCTAATGAGTCGTCATTCATAATGGTGTAGTAAACCCGAAGGTCGGTATTTTGTTGACAATTTTGTCATGAAACGTTCTATATCTTTAGCCTACATTTATACCGTAAATAACTGCTAACTTAAATTTGAATTTAATTAAATTATTTCGTCATTAAAATTTTAATATTCAGTATTTAAATAAGTTTTAAAATAGGAAAAAAACAAATACAGCTTAATCATTAGGGCTGTCTCTTATACACATCTATATATTGGCCTAGACCTTTGTAGGACTTTAAGAACACTGATTTATTAATAACTCGTTTATTTCTGCTACTCTTGTGGCCTCCATGATGATGAAAAACATTATGATAAAGATTGATGAAGTGTTTCATTATTCTCACTGGTGAAGGCCACAGGAGTGGCAGAAATATCCTATTTATTAATAAATCAGTGTTCTTAAAGTCTACCATTAAAGTTGTTTCATTTGATAATAAGTCAGTGCTCAAATATAAGAACATGATGTTATAAATCGTATCAAACATAGATGCAATAACCCCGTTTCCCTGATGTTACTTTTTAAGACCCTTTGTAGACCTATACTTGAATATGGAATCCCGGCATGGTACGGTACCCTTTTCAAATTAATCACATTAATTCACTTGAAAAAGTTCAACGCAAGTTTACGCGGGCTTGTTTTAATTATGATCCTACTTTTAATTATGCTGAACGTTTATCCCTTCTTCAGGTTCCACTTATTTCTGACCGTTATAAATACCTCCTTCTTTCTTTTGTATTGTCTTGCTTCCATAGAAAATGATATTGAACCAAATCTTCTTCCTGTTGTTAATAACCGTCGTCTGTCTGATTTTAGATTTAAGATCCAATTTGCTAGAACCAATTGTTATAAATTTACTGTTTTTAATTATTTTCCTTATTTATGGAATGACCTACCTCCAAATATTAGGGAATGTGCAATTAATTCCACAAAATTTTAAATATGTACTTAAGCAATATTTTTTTTTAATTAAATCATATTAAATTACTTAAATTTTATTTTTACCTCTACAAAATTGTACTTCTCTTTGTAATATTTTTATTAATTTTTTATATTGTACATATATGAATTGTGGATTTTTTTTGCTAGAACCAATTGTTATAAATTTACTGTTTTTAATTATTTTCCTTATTTATGGAATGACCTACCTCCAAATATTAGGGAATGTGCAATTAATTCCACAAAATTTTAAATATGTACTTAAGCAATATTTTTTTTAATTAAATCATATTAAATTACTTAAATTTTATTTTTACCTATACAAAATTGTACTTCTCTTTGTAATATTTTTATTAATTTTTTATATTGTACATATATGAATTTAATGTTTGTCTTTTTAATGTTTTAGAGAGCCTTTAGATAGTGATTATTTTCCCTTTTAGGTAATCCTCAGGCTTTTTGTTTTTTGTTTTTTTTTTGTCATTTGTTTCTCTTATCTATTGTACTGTATTGTCTTGCCTGGAAATAAATAAAATAAAATAAAAATAAAATCAACAAAAGTTCCTTTTTTTGTCATTTGTTTCTCTTATCTATTGTATTGTATTGTCTTATCTGGAAATAAATAAAATAAAATAAAAATAAAATCAACAAAAGTTCCTCTAGGAAAAAAAGAGGTCTCTGGTTGGAACCGAGAATATATAAATTACTAACTGTTTTCACACTCTTTGGACATGTTTTCGTCGAAAAGTATTACTGCTACTTAGATAAATTGACGTTTTTCTGGTTGATTGGTCAAACATGACTTATAGATCAATGGGATATACCAATAATATATATGAAGATTAATATTTTAGTTGTTTATATTTAAAGTGTATGTATTGTTATAAAATTTCCAACTGTAGAACACTCACATTAAAATAAACTTTTAGAGGTGAAGTGTGATAGGTATATTTTTTAGTGATATAATAAATATATGATAATAATATCTAATTAAAATTGTTCTTTTCCTTCCTTTCTATGTCGATGAATATAGATTCTGAAATAAACGATTTTCTTTTAACGATGAAAGATA